ATGATGTTATGTGTACTTTGTTTCCGGTGTCACCCCCGCCCCCGGCGCCCCCCGCTTCTTTCTACTCTCGTTTTACCTCGGCAAACCAAATATTTCCTCGAGAACCAGGGCAATTGGGCTCAAAGCCTTGAACCCGTGTAGTACTTCAAGACTTCAAGACAACCGAGCCCTAATAAGTGCATGTTCGGCTCCCCGTCGCTCGAATTTCTCGGGCGCCGTATCGATCAAAAAGGTTTGACACCCCTCCCAGATAAGGTGCGCAGTGTCCTCTCATCTTCTGCACCTGAAAGGATCACATAGTTACGATGTATTTAGGGAATTTCGAACTACTACCGCCGCTCTATTCCCCATTGTGCTACCATCGTTTCCCCTATAACCTATCTACTCAAGTCCAACGTCAAGACAATTGATTACACTTCCGAGGCCGAGGCAGCCTTCGCAAAAGCGAAAAAAGCTCTCGCAGATGCCACCGTGCTGCATCATTGGCTTTCGGATCCGAATACCGAGTTATTCCTAACAACTAATGCATCAAATACTGCGGTCGGTGCAGTTCTTCACCAAATTGTGGACAATCAATTACAGCCCTTAGCGTTCTTCTCGCAAAAACTCCAGGCGGCACATACAAGATACAGCACTTTTTCTCGTGAAGTCTTTGCTATTTGCTTGTCCATTCGTCATTTTCGCCATCTTTCGGAAGGACGACAGTTTCGTGTGCACACCGGTCACAAACCCCTGACACAGGCACTTCATGCCAAGCCTGACAGACATTCACCTAGAGACATCCGCCATTTAGATTGTATTTCCCAGTCCACAGTAGATATCCGCTGTTTGTGGAGTTGATTGTGTTGTGGCTGTTGCTTAATCCAGGCGTGACATCAAAACGGTGCAAACAAAATTCGATCTTTTGGAACTGGAAAACTTCCAGCTTGACGATCCATCCTTGCCTAAATTGCGCACATCCTGCACACTAGAGCTGAAGGATTTCCCTCTTTCTTCAGCCGACGGCACAATCCTGTGTGACTGGTCTACTGGTAACCCTCGTCCTGTCGGTCCAGCTTCCTACAGGGAAGTTTATTTCGATCATTTTCATTCTCTGTACCATCCTGGTATCCGTGAATCTCGCAAATTCATTTCCGCCAGATTTGTTTGACCCAGTATGAATTCTAATAACAACGATATATTAATAACAATAATAATAAAAGTTTGTTCTGGATAACCCCGAAGCATACTGCAATGCAAGATCGAGCAGTACAGTCGAAAGTTGAATCAGAGACAGGATGACAGTGCAATTAAATGAACGCGATTGAATTTAAGGGAGTGCATTCAAGTCAGCTTTTGAGGTACCGCCCGGTGGATTGAAGCTCAAGGTCCGGTGGTCAAGCCTGCTCGACGTGGGGTGTAGTTATTCTACCAAGGTGTGCAGTGGATGGGGAATAGTAAGGAATCACAAAAATCCTACGGAAGGAAAACCGTCCTGTCGGAGAAGCAAACTGGATTGACAGACACATGGATGTCGTGGAAAAAACATTCCCGAAGGAGACGCAATCAAGCAATAGAGCTTCGCGATGCATGGGTGGGGTCACGATGTAAAACAAAACGATAAAAAATGGTGGCATTGCACATAAAGACCAAGAAAACCAGTCGTGGATTACGGTTGTAAAGTTCAGTGACCGTATTTCTGATAAGCCAGTTGTACAACAAACAGAAAACAAACTGGACGGTGGTTGCCAAAGTGACGGGGAAAGAAGTGGCCGGATAAAAACAAATGGAATTTGAATTATGGACTAAACAGCGTTTACAGTGTCAGAGAGACAAAGTTGACCGCCATATATTTTTTCCCTTCCAGTACATCCACCTTTCCCGATGTCCACTTCACACATATTTACATCGATCTCGTTGGTCCACCGTCACCATCAAATATTGCGAAGGTACTATTCCAGCACTGGGTTGCTACATTTAGCTTACCGCCTACAGTCACCACAGACCGTGGTCTCCAGTTCCAATGGATTTTGTTTCGTGAGTTCATTAAACTGCTTGGTTGTAAACACATTAAAACAACTGCATATAATCCTCCGTCCAGTGGCATGGTAGGGCGCCCGCACCGTCAACTCAAAGCAGCATTGATATCACAGCCAAACTCCGATAGCTGGAATGACAGTCTGCCACTAGTCCTCTTGGGTTTCCGGTCATCAGTGAAAAACGACCTCCTCAGCACGTCGGTTGAACTCGTTTTCGGTACCACCAGTTACTTTCCAGGTGAATATATTCAACCCAGGACTGCTGACAGTCTGAACCCACCCCAGGTTGTTCAACAGCTCAAAGAACATGTGTTACATCTACGTCCGGCGCCTACCCGCTGGTCATTCACACACTTTTTTTACGTAATGATCTGTATACTTCACCTGTAGTTTACTCGTATTTATGCTGTACGCAAACCACTCACACCACCGTATGAATGTTCATTCAAGGTACTTATTCACACAGACAAATATTTTGTGGTTCAGAAAGCCGATAAGCCGGGCTTTGTTTCCACTGAGATATTGAAACCCGTGTATTTTGATGCACCTCCACCACCAGCAACGTCGACACCATCTCCATCCACGGACAAACCATCAACAATTTCTGTTGGTGATCTACACTCCGTCATCTCACCAGACACTATACCACACCCGCCAGTATCACCGCAGCAAAAACCGCCTCTGTTAATCCGCCGTTCTGGCAGAAACGTTCGATATCCTGTCAGATTTCAAGACCTTATTTGACGTTCTCTTTCGCAAACCTTTTGCCCTTTGTATTTTACTATGGAGCGTTTATTTTGCAAAACAAAGCCCTGGCGAGGGAGTTGTGTAGGTACCTGTACATTTCCGACTTTTCCATGATTCTCAACGTCCCTTAGTGCGATGCTACTTTGTTGCACTCAAGTTTCAACGTAGAACAAACACACACCTTTTGAGCATCACCACCGGGCAGTACAAAATAGGGTGTCAATAAACCGTTAATTATGGCACGGTCCCATCTTCTGATTTGGGGTTTCTTGGAATTATATCGGTCGGAACTAACTGCGGGGGACAAAACATTTTAGAAGCTTCCACGGTGTCACTTGGCACTTCTCTCAATACCATCCTGTTTTGTTCAAAGATTGGCTGTCACACCGAACTGAACTAAGGATATTGACGGATATCGGCTCTTTGGCGCTCATTTCCTGATCACAAGATAGGCAAACAACTGCGAGTTTGCGTCACACCTTTTGTTTCACTTTAATTTCTAATGTATATACCCCTTTGGTCTTTTATCACAACACGCTCCTCCGCCCATCTTAGTTCGCCAGTGTCGTCTTGGATATTGTTGACATTAATTTAGTAGTAGTGCGCTACAACGCGCTATCCTAAGTTAGCACTTTTTTACTTCGTTCTAAGCCATCAATGCTGCTGCTTCAAACCATTTTCCAAATCAATGAAATTCTCGTCCCCACCCTCCTCTTGTCCCACGTGTTATTATTTTATTATTCATTATTAGTACTACTTTCTCTTTATTCTCTTCCTTCATAATGGCTACTAGGCCCCTAGTCGTGTCCGTCAATGCAGTAAAAATGTAGATAGCCTTCGGTGTCTTCTACTCAAGCACCACCGTGTCACTCTGGGGAGAGAACCAAATAACTTGAGCGTAGATTCTTCAGATATGGCTTAATCTACTAGCCCTTCTAGGGCAACTTCATGTGTTTCAGCCAACGACATAGAATTTAAGTGTGACGATATTTGTAGACTGAGATTAGTGGAACTAGAAAACTGGCTAAGGCTGGCTAGGGAAGAAGCTGAGTCGGCCAGTAGAGGACATATTTGGATACGGGAGCCAGAGGCGGTCTTGGAAACCGCGGAGAGTGTGAACACTCAGCCTAGCAGTTCCATTAGACGATTGAAATCGAGTTGTGCCAGCGGAACACACACAATTAACTTGCCAAAATCGGAACTATCCCCATCTGATGGATGCGCCGAAAGTAACTGCAAATTTATTAAACAACACGAGAACTTTGCAGATGGGATAGTACCTAACCCGGGGCGGAGATTCTTGTATCTGCTGCATCGCTGTCTTGGAAGAGCCAAGTAAGCGATTGGCGGATGCTCGATGCTGGACTCCGGAGACTTTTACACCATGGTACTTGAAGTCTTGAAAGATCTGCTTAAGCAACCATTGGAGGTCTCTCGGAACTTGATCGATGGAGTACTATCAAAGGCTAGACGATCTAAAGGCGAGCCAGGTACTCTAGCCAGTCTGGTGGTAAATAAGCAAAACTGCAGCTTTGCTTTGGATTACCTAGGTTATCGACCGGGCCTGGACGCACTTCACACATTGGAGACCAAAGCTCGCAGCTTACCCACGGAACTACAGAGTGGACGGGCCGAGGGAGCCGAAGGGATCAGTAGATTTGAGCGAGAAACTGTTTGAGGACCTGGCGCCGTTTATAGACCATCATGCCCGAATATAAAATAGCCTTTCGGTCAGCTTGTGCTTGAGACGACCAAGCTGCCTAGGACTGCGTCAACACAAAGCTGGGCCAGTGATCCAAGAGGAGGCCAGCCATGGGCCAACAAACACGCGCTTTCCCGGGAAGGTTAAAATTTGCCGGTATGTAATGTCTGTGGTGCGCCACACCGTCTAGTGGAATGTCCTCGCTCCCAGGAGGTAGAAGTCGACGAGAGGTGAGAAATAGCTAAGAGCCTGGGCGCTTGATTTATCTGTCTCAAAGGTTCCCTTCAAGCGGCTGTGTGCCGAATGAAAGCAGGTTTTAGTCAAAATGGATGTAGGCGGAAACACCATAACTTACTGCACGAACCAAGAAAACTGAGTGCCGAAGAAATTCCGGAGCCAAGTGTGGTCTGCCCAAGGTCTCGTTCTATTATTAAGCTCATTGCCTGGAAGTAGTAGCAGTCGGCGCAGAAACCCCGGCTGGGGTAATATTAGCGTCGACCTTCGTAAGTAGTGTCTCGGATTCTGTAACACACCTTTGAGCAATACGTAGCAGAGCTCGGATGAATCCCAAAACCGAAACCAGATCGATCCGTAAAACCAACGATGTTCTATGAATAAATGAACAGTAAAATATTACATATAGAAACCTCAATTTCGCCATCACACAGAATCGGAAAACGAGAACCAAGTTTGCGGCGTGCGAGAAACAAAAATAATAAGGATAATGGTCGAGACAAACGCGCAAGCACATGGTTATGGTGTAAAACGTCACTCAACAAAATGAAATATTCACAAGCCTTAGGAATAAGATTCAAAAGTGTCAGCGACAGAAAAACATAGCCGGAAATAGTTTGAATGGATCTTTCTGACAATGGTTTGCCCTGCAACTTTGAACCTGTTCCGAGTTCGAGCTGGGCGGTGGTGCACTGTGAGGATACCGAGAAGATCGTTGATACATAGTGCTGAGGATGCACTATAAACGAAAATGATGCTGGCCACGGAAATCGGAGGCTTACTAGGGTCCTGCGAGCAGAGTAGATTCTGAACAAGAAAAATAAAAAAGTGGTATTGGAGTGTAATAGGAAAAATTGATGCATGCAAAGAGAATAGGAGTGCATGAAGATAATGCGAACCCTGAGTGACGGACCTACCGGGGTTCAATAGGCGGGGTGGTTTTTGAGACAGGGAGACCTGAAACCCATTTTATGAAGTGCGCTTGGGAACATTGGTGAGTGTGAAAGGAACAACAGTCTATGAAAAGGTGAGTTTAATTCCAGGATCAGTAACCTGTACCAACCAGCAATGAAAAAAGCGTAACCTTGAGGGTCCTGAAGAAGTGAATAATCAGTTTTCAGCCGACTAAGGTTCCAGGAAAAATGGACTGTTGCAACGAATACTAAAGTGAGAGATCTCAACATAGGTGCAGGCTTTATTAGGCTGTTTTATTGACAAGTCTATATATATATATATATATATATATATATATATATATATTGACGCATCGAGCCTCAGAACTATTCAGCGTAGTTACTGGTAATGTAAAACATCCTATGGTGTGGTTTCTTTGGCGGGGTAGAGGATGTGTCGATCCATCAGCCGGGTGTGGCTAGACATGACGGATTAAAATGATGGCTGGTATTGACCGGTACATTGGAAGAATACGCATGAACTGTTGTTTGTGTTGACTGCAATGATGATATCGGCAGGAGAGGATTTGCGTTAGAAAACGCAAATCGGTCTGATAAGCAGTTGGGGGCATTTTCCGTCGAGTGGCTTGATTGTAGTTTCAGTTGCTGTGAAAGGTCCCAATAGTGTCTCTGTCGGTACGAGTCAAAGTATTATCCTTGGTTATCCAGTGTGGCGACTGAGATAGTGGGAGGCGGAAAACCGGAAACTAGCAGGGATTGCAGCCTGGAAGTGGTTTCAGCTGTCGGTTATGGTAATATATGACGACAGTAATAATGAACTGGTTAGGTATATGTGAATGGGGCCGGGATAAAGTTTCATTTAAGCTACCAGTGGCACTTACTCCACATATTGGGTAAGGTAGGCTCGCAGGGGATCGAGTTACACTGCTACAAGCTAGCAAAGTTGCGTGCACCGGTTAGGCAGCCGTGGGTGCATTCCAAGAGATCAATGGTTTGCACTTTGGCGCCGCAGCTCTCGGATGCCAATAAAGATCTGAGGCCTCACGGTTAAGAGGAATTAGAAATGGTAACCCTCAAACCCTTTTGCTTACGCAGAAGGCAGTTCAGCTCTTAGGTAATAAGGCAGGTTTTGAAAGAACAGTATGTGAGTGAACGGGGCTCGTACACTGTTAGCATAGCGCTATATTCTTTATTGCATCCTTCGATATAGGAGTTATTCTATACTGAACAGCTTCTAAGGAGCTTTAAAGTAGAAGAAACTACCGGGCTTTCAGTGATGATCTATTGGAGGAGATTGGTCTTGTGCCGAGAAGCTTAGGCGGAAGTTCGTCTGTGATCCTACTCGATGATGCCAGCATACTGAGACTATACTTGAATGTGAGCAAGGAACTTTGATGTACTAGTGATTGACTGGTTTCCGTGGCAACTTTGTCGTCGTTACCATGTTGTTCAGCAGGACAAAGCAAATGTGAGGACTGGTCCGGGGAACCGTGAGAAGTGGGGACGGGATTGGGCTGAATTTTCGTCGTGGAAGCAAACTCTAACGGCCTACATTCATGGCTCAAGTGGGCGGTACCAGTGCCTGCTTTAGGTGGGGATGTAACACGATGTATATCCATTGACATCCAGCGGTGGGGCTCCAGGAGTGATTCTCACTTTTATAAACGTTTTTGTTATTTTTTATGGTTTTGTCACAGTCAGACATCTGGCTGTCAGAGGAGGCTGGGCCGCTTTGGTGAGTGACCAAAGCCCCCGCGCCCCGGCCGAATCATGGACCGCATGTAACAAGCCGCACTGGAATAGGTCAGCCACACCAGTCAATCATTGGCAACACTGCAGCCCGGAGACCTGGGTCACATGTGACAGGGAGGGTTTGCCTGGAAGAAAAAACGGTGGGGTATTTTTTCATTTTTTATGCCAATCTCTTACTTTTTGGTGTTCACGTCGTCTAATTGGTGTTCAACTATGTGCAAGAAGACAATCAAAGCTAGCCCTTTACCTGAAGGTTTATGGTTCAAGGTCATCTAGACGTTAAAATCAGGTTGTCCCGTTTGTTTGGTTTTTTCATCATTGAGGCTCGGCTTTGTGCCATCTCTAGCGGGAATTTTTATCCACACTGAAGAGTTGTACTTTCAGAGCTGTTATCTGCGACACCCCACAGTGAATGCGTAATTGGTTATCGTGAAATAATAATATTAGTATATTACTGGACCGTGATCGAGAGGCACGCATGTTAGCACGATGAGAGTTTCCAACATTACTGATTGAGATGGAAAGTTCACAAATTCCAAAAAGAGATTCGGACATCACAGAAACAATGGAATAAGGCTGAGGAGAGTTTCAATGAATCTAAATGATCAAACAATACACGGTGAATACGAATTGATTTCGAGTCAACGACGGCCATAGTAATGAATTGGCCGGATGAAGGAATGTTCAGACGGACATTGTCTTAGGACGCAGGAAATGCAATATTCACAGGAATGATGCAAGAAAATGATCGGTAATGCAAATTCATGTTCAATTAAAAAGGTAATTGGCTTTGAGACAAAGGAGGCAGGGGAGAATTTCATGAAGGTTCGCAGAGGAATACTAATTTCCATAGATTGGCGGATATGAAAAGGAATAGTACCCCCCGAAAATGTGAGACAATTTACATGAGAAGTATTGTGTGTCATCCGGTGTCGGAAGTTCGCACGTGGTGGAAAATGGACGAAGTTCCAGGAAGGAATAATCAGCAATCCGAATGCCGTGTCCACGAGGAACAAAATAAAGTAAGTCAAGGGTGAAAACCTTTGCAATAGACCATGTTATGCCGGTAAATTGGCGAATACATCATTCTGTTGAGCTTCTTGTGACTTTTCTGTGTCCGTGTTTGGCTTTTTGGGCAAGGGTTGGCTGCGGTCTTTGTTCGCTGTTTCATCATGGGAAGGAGGCCGGCATTGCTGAATCTAGACCGACCACTATTTAATCGGGAGTCCTCGCACGGTGTCTTCGACATCGGGAGGGTCTTGTAGTGAGAATTCCTCAATAAGCCTCAGAGGGGCACACGCAGCAATACCAGGACTTCTTGTGGACGAAACCCGGTGGCTGGATCATATTCGCGGTAGCCAGCCCTTGGTGCGGTTGTAGACGGGCAGAGAAAAAGATGAGCTGTCTGTACGATATATTACAGCCAGGCAACGTGATGGCCGGGTGGTTCTGAAATTGAAAAAGGGGGATCGCAGTCTGGGAGATGTTCCAGCTGAGGGTTATCGTGAGCAAAATAACAGATGAGAGTGCCGAGTTTGGAAATGAGGCACAGTGGTTTTAGTGAAATGAGGAGTCGTTGATATTGTGATTCGGTGTTCGTGAGGGCTAACTGAACGTGCACCACTAAGCAAAGTTATTGATTACCGATTCAGCCGTTCACCGAGAAGTCTTATCCTAAAGGATTCACAAAGCCTTGGGGGTGCATTTGGACTAGGGTCTGAGGGCTACCTGAGAAAGCAGCTGGGCAACACGAAGAACCTTGAATGGCAAGTTTGCACTCCAGGTCTAGGGGATACATGACAAATCCCACAGTAGTGTTTTACAGGTCACAAGGAAGCAGCTGGGATACACTAAGAATCCAAATGGCAAGTTTATATGATAGATCCGGAGGCTGTATGACAAATCCTATCGTTGGGGTATCTACGGGTCTAATGCTGCGGGTTGCTGTTAGGTAAGGCTGTAAACTGGGAATGGGCTGGATTCTAGGACAAGAGGAAAGCCGCTTTCTAGCAGAAAGGAGGAAATATAGATAAGTAGGCGAAAATACGGGAGCATTTCTCTGCTTTCCTATATGTATGTTTGTATATACGATAATATCTACATGTATATAAACAGTGCTTTGATGAGACGTGTCTGTCGTCTGATGTATCGACTTGTTGTCCAGGGCCACGGTGGTTTTGTGGCTGACGTCGACAAACATGCCCGGCTTGCATGGGAGGGTACGAGGTGATAGGAAATTAGAGCGGGGGTGGGCAAGCATACGTGAAGAGAGACCAGTTCGTTATCACCCCCGAGTCAGTCTCGTGCGTAGGGACCAAAATCATGTCAAGAGGACAGGAGTGGTGTAGGGTTTTCCCTTTCGCAGGGTCAGGTGTGAGCTGATGGGGGACACCATGATTGGAGTTTGCCCATTTCCTTCACAGCCCGATGTTAATGGTATTTAAAGATCAAATCGATCTACTAGATCTTTTTTGTTCTCCACTTTTTTTTTCTAACAGAGAGGTGGTTGAGCCCATGTGGGAACTTTCCATAGCCCGTCCGCCCAACTGTAATTTTCCGAGTGTCATTTTTTGCAACTGCTGTGGGTGGTCTGTTTCCCCCACATCCGGAAGCAGCTATGATAAAGGTGCCGTTGACATCAGGGGTTTTGCTTGCTTGGGCTAAGAAAATACGGAGTGGAGCTATGCAAACACATGTAGTAGGACAACGAGTGTTGTAATGTACGCGCCTGCATATATGTTTCAGTCCCGTACAGCTTCAGACCGTGCCTAAAACTGCCAGAGACCGTTCTGGTGTGGTTGAGTCAGGCTGCGCCAGTAGATGTTATTGCACACATGGAGAGAGTAAAGCAGTCTAAGTTAGGTGATGGATTCAGAAATCTTGGCGAAACAGACAAGCTTTCACGTCGGGAAATATAAGAGGAGGAAATTGAAGCCAACAGGTAGCGATTGGCAGGTGGGTGTATGGGATGATAGATCTTCAACCGGGATGATTAAGAAAAGCAAATTACGGCCGGGCAAGGAAGCTGAGAAGAGCGGAAGCTAGAATAAATAAGCGAAGATCCAAAGAATCAAGGAGTGAAGTAGTGGGTGGTGGGACTTAATGTCCTAGGATCTAGCACCACTGGCCCATTTGGTGCTAGGGGAAAAAATCAATGGCTAAAAACCTCCAGCTAGAGGAAAGTTGCTTTACATGACTGCCCTAGTACTATATAGTGAGGGGGGCAGTAATTGTTTAGACATGGTTGTGAAGACCGACTAGTGAAATAGATATGGCAGGGTTGTATGGGGGTTAGGTGATAGTAGGTGAACGTGGGTGAGTAGCGAGAACCGGCAGGCATCTAGCTAGTTATAGTTGTAAACGAAAAAGCTGTATCCTTCTGCAATGTGGGTCATGTGCGGTATACGTAAAATGTGATAATAAATGGTAAGCCTTTGTCTGCCATTAGGCAGGAAATGGTAGGTTTTGGATAGCTGAGAGCGGGAGGGGAGACGGTAGCTGGGGTTCTAAAGTTCGATGCCTTCTTCATAGGCTTGATCCTCAGATATGCTGGCGTTGGTCAAAGATGAAATATGGCTATCGGTAATTTGTGATTTTAGGGACTGGATAAGCTGGGTTATTGAGGCACATTTGCGAATATCCGGGAGTAGCTTGTTTCGAAGCTTTGAATATTTATTGAGAAAGAAGTTGGATGTTATTGCCATCCTGGACTGTGGGATGGTCGAACTGAAGTCTCTGTGGTGCAGAGGGTAAGATGAGTGTGTAGGCACCTGTACATTTCCGACTTTTTCATTGATTTTCAACCTCCGTTGGTGCGACGCACCTTTGTTGTACCGACGTTTTAATGTAAAACGCACACACCTTTTGGTCGTCATCACCGCGCAATACAAAAAGGCTGCAAATAAATCTTTCGTTCTGGCACGGTCTCATCTGGTTTGGAGTGTCTTGGAATTATATTGGTCGGAACTAACTGTGAGAAACCACACAGTTTAGAAGCTTCAACGGCGTCTCTTGGTACTTCGCTCAATACCATCCTGTTCTGTTCAACAGATGGCCGTCAGACCGAACTGAACTGAAGACATTGGCGGATATTGGCTCTTCGGCGCTCATTTCCTGATCACAAGAACACTGAACAACTGTGAGTTTGTGTCACACGTTTTGTTTCATTTTACTTCGTAATGTACATACCCTTTTGGCCTTTTTATCACCGCACGCTCCTCCGCCCATCTTAGTTTGCTAGTGTCGTCTTAAATATTGTTGACAATAATTTAGTGTACCACATAGACAGAGTAGTATGCTACAAAATTGGTGAGCCCAGGTTGCTTTCCCATCCTTTGACACTAGCTTGATTCTTTTGGTCCAAATTCTACACGATTCGCCATGTCTGACACCTAATCTATTGACATCCACGCGGTAACTATTAGAGTCCATCGCTCTTTATAGCTCAGTGGAGAAGAATATCCTATTAGCTTCTTAGCGAAGGTACTCTGGACTTTCTCCAGGTGTATTCTATTCGATTTAGACATTCCAGAGAAGATTATAACTCAATATTCGAAGTGGGGTCTAGCATGGGATTGGTATGTGAGGAGAATACTGCGTTTCATTTTAAATGATTTGCGAACTAGGCCTATTATCTGTCTGGCCCTGGTAGTCTGAAATGAGACATGTTCCGAAAATTGTAGATTGTTATTGTGTCAAAGCCCAAGATCCTTCACTGATGAGCTTGGGGCGATGGGTACTTGGTTCAGTGACAGAGTTCCGAGAAAGACTCGACATCTGTAGGTTGTGTAGAAGCTTTTGAATGTCGAGAAGCACATCTGCCATGAAGTGCACCATTGATCAAGTTTCTCAAGATCTTTATCTATTT